AACGAAGGGAAGGGGGGAGAAGTCCAGGTAATTAATCGATTAAAAAAAATTTCGATTAATCGAACAGGAAATTTTTAATCATTTCCAGCCCTACTTTTTATATCCTCAACACCTTAAGAAAATCCTGTTTAAGTATATAACTACCTTTATAAGCAGACCTATCACTACTCCTGATTAAGCAGTTAAACACGATTGTAGTGCTCCCTCTACCCCAGTGCTGAAACCAACATACCACATTAGTATTTTACACTTCTCATAACTCAATATTCCTAATCCTTACAGGCATAATCTGTAATAGTTTGCAAATTATTTTAATAAGCTGGTAACACTTTTCAAATGCAGGTTGCAAAGGCATCCCCATCAATATTACTTTATTTAGTGGATTCCTCTGTTCAGCAACAAGATTTTCCACCCTGGTAGTGATGGCAAACAATAGATTGAAGTGAACCATTATTCTTGTCAGTATTTTAAGATACACATTTTAAAGTCATTAGCTTAATGCACATAAATAGTGTATAAATTGCAAAGGACCCAAATTCTGTGTAACTGTCCCAGATTGTGACACAAATCCTACAGTCCGAAAGACTCATGTGTTGTCCTGTAACACCCCACTGCCTGCCATTGCTATTCTGCTACACAGCGGTGGCAGGGCAGGGCAGGAGAAGTGATAGCCAAATTGAACTAAACATCATTTAATTTTTTTTTTTAGTATCATTACTTGCAAAATCAATTTTTTTTAACATGTTGTGTACATACAAACATTGACATATACAGAAACAAACTTTGAGAGACACTTTGAGATGTTAGAGATCCAACACCCACAGAAAATACAACATAAGAATAGATTCCATGCAGGGCCGTCCCTATAAGGCAGCATCTCATTGGGTCATGTGGGCACACCTTCCGCCCTCTTGCCGGTCAGAGCCTCCCAGGTTGCTAAGAGCTCTTTGCGTCCTGGGCACTCTCTGAGCAGCATCCCGCTCAGCTCCTGGCGACCAGTGACATCATTGAGCTGGACACGGTCCTCATCAGATGCGCCACTAGCTACCCCCAGTATCGTGCACCATTAGCACACCAGCCCCCCTCCCCTGTCGAATAGTCTAGGAACACCAGTGGTTCCATGTGTATGTAGCGCTCACCCCAGAAGGAGCCGCTGAATAACCGGATATTTCTATCCCCCTACACCAATGTACCGCCCAAATCGTGGATCCACAGCACACCAACACACCTTTGAACAGTTTTATAGCAGATTTACTGATAAAGCAGAAATAAACAACTATGATACAATAGCAATGACAACAATCGACAACAATAATGTGTAGCAACAGGCTGAGACACTCTGCAACTCAGTAACTGCAGCTATATGCTGTCAGCACTGATATATGAGAGGCCAATTGTCTTTAAATGGCCGCCTGGTAATGGGGTGTGTGTACCTTTAAGATTTCCCTTTTTTGCAATGTCCAACCCTTCCTAGTCTACTGGCCAGTAGTGATGTCCTAAGCTAGCCGGCGTTGGGGCCCTTACTGTAATGCAGGTGGGAACAGCAAACTGTTTGTCAACGTGGCCAAAGGCCTCTCACCAATCCTCAACGTCAGTTGGAAAGATATGAAGACTGCTAGCAGATGCCGGACATCCTCTCTCTCCAGTTCAGGCGACATAGAGGGAAGTCATCTGGGTCCCCGACAAAAGGTCCTCACCCATCTAGGATGTTCGCAGTCCTCTCTAATGGCTCCGTCTGGCTCCCTCTCTCTCTGCTGGGCTGGCTGGATCACTCCGGTGGCCGGTTCAGCCATGCGACTAGGCCTCAGTTCGGGCGCTCGAACACAGTCTCTCCAATTGAGCAGATGAACAGCAGTCCTTCAGAATGCCGCTATACAGAGTCTGTGTGTCCCAATCTGTCAGTGGGAATCACACAGCTCGGCTGCATGCAGTCCTAATTCACC